GAGTAGAATTTAGAGAAATTGCTTGTATATAATTTTTTAATATGATTTTTATAATAAATTACTAGGCATTATTTCAGTAGGCTGAAAAATTACTAAAAAAATTGCTCAAGCACTTTAGGTGCCATTTGTTGACTCAATGCACTTCAAAATGGAAGGTGAATTAGAGTTGAAAAATTATCACCTTTTTGCAACTACCAAAAAACAATTAAAGAAAGAGTAGGAAAGAAAGAGTAGGAAAGAAAAGCTTACACAATAATTTTATAAAGATTTGAGTCAACCACTTGGAACCTAATCTTCTATCTTAACTTCACTCACTAAGGATTTCGTCCATTCTTTACTAAGAAAAACAATGGTGGCTTAAAAGAGCCACCCAATTCTTTTATAAGAATAATAGTATTTTTCTCAAATCTCACCCCTTTATAAGTTAAACCCCAAGAATCCCCTCTATAAATCACTCTTGAAGGAATAATTACACCCCCAAGATAATACACAAGTAGAATAAGGAGACGATTACAAGCAAAGATCACTCAAAAATAAAAAAACTCAAGTTAAAGCACAAGTTGATAAGTAAACATATTCAATACATTACTCTAAAACTTGTTCCAGATATTTTACCAACTATATTTATAGCCCTTTACTCGAAAATAACCGTTTCTAGCAATTGTGGGTCATTAAATGCTTTGCAGATCAAGTAAGTTTGTATTGCAAATTTGTCAGTAAAGACGACTGTAACTCCAAATCTGGCTTTGGAGAGCCGGTTTTGAATTCTAAAGCCAGCTTTGCGGCCTTCTTGCACATTTTGTTTTTCTTAAAAACCGACCATAAAAACGCAAAGCCAGTTTTGGAAGTTTGACTTTAAAAAGATTAGAGAATCTTTAAATAACTTGATCGCTGTACATTAAATGCATCTTCATAGTCAGCTATAAAGTTAAAATCAGCTTTGCGTCTGTTTTCTGCGCATGCGAAATTGCGGTCTTGCCTCACTAGAATAGACTGCAGATTTTTAAAGCCGACTCTTTGCACATTTCTCAGTCTTTTTGGTCCTATTTTTAGTGCAATCCAAATTTATTTAATTTTGCAATCTTTTAAAAATTCAACTACACACTTAAATGAACAAATTAGTTACTCAAATATGTTTTGTAATCATCAAAATTATAAAAACAATACTATTAAACGCATCTAATAGTACCTAGGAGTGTTTAATTGATCTAGTCGGTACAAATCGTATTAAATTTTTACTTAGAGGTTAATACAAGTAGAATGGCACTACCTAGAGTATAGGTGATGCTTAGCTCTACTTTTTACAACACTGATGAATACTTAATTAAAGTTATCTTAAAAGAAGGTTTAGATTTCTTTTTAATTTTATTTTTTTAATTAGTTATGTAAGGACAAGTAATTATTTTTTATTTTTTATCTTACTTATTTGCATGTCATGAGAATTAAATTTAATATTTTTTATTTTTAACAAAAAAAATTACTATTAATTTATTT